GGTTTTAAAGGATTTAGGTTTTGTCACGATAGAATTAGACCTAATCCCCCCTAAGACTGTGCAACATTCCTATGACCCCATTAATTGCCAGGTAATTGACAGTAAATTTTCCATAGTCCGCCATTTATACTTTGTAGGCGACAACTGATTCCCCCTCTGTTGCCCCCGAAAATCATGTTACCCCTTCAAAAATACTCCACCCTCCTTCCCCTCTCCCCCACGGGAGATAAATAATGACCAGTTCCTTACCAATGCCCATATGGAGATCCCTGAAATACCAGCCAAGAGTAAAATCACTGCGCAAACGGGCCAAGCAGACAGAATTGTGTACGTAATAATCTTCTCAATCTTCGTCTTACAGGCATCGTAATCAATGACTAACGCAAAACCAGGCGATTCTACGATAGTGACAAGCGTGACGCGCCAGTCTCGTGATGTCGACAATTCTTCAGTCAACGACGAAAACAACGAAGGTGTTATCGGAATTGCGATGTCAGTTTTTTCTTCCAGAGTGAGGGAGCTCAATTTTTCCTCGGAGAAAACCTCCCTCCAATGCATCTTCGTCATATTGCAGGAGTAGCGGCGAAAACAGCGAATTAATCCCGCTTGCACAAAATCATAAATCAGGCCATGCCATTTTGTCCTATTGGCTTTCACGTATGGAGGGTTGTGGAGGAATGCTGCGCTGAAATTCGTGCTTGAAATTGGGCAATTTCCAATGGAACCTGATTTTAACGCGAAAACAGCCGTATTGTAAAGAAACAGAGAGAAAAAGCACAATTTTGATGCCTTAACTAAAGTTTGCCCCACAGTCATGTTGTACCAGTATCACGTTTCCGGGTCCTACACATATTTACAGCAAGATTGTCACGCACGCAGAAGCATAGCAGAAGAACACCCAGGGAAGAGGGGCTACATGATTCTACTCATCCTACCCCCGTCCGTATAAAAGAGCCCAAGACAGCGAGTATGATTTCATGTTGTCCACATGAAACGTGAAACTAATTCAAGATGGCCGCCGGTCACCAACGGGGAGATGAAGTGACAATAAACCATTCCTTTCCCTGGTTAAATTAAACGGCAAAGGAGTATTTAAGATGTCGATGAAGGTTTATTGTGCCTTAATCACCGCACAGCTTGGATTTGGGGCGTATGGCATTATCGTGACAAAGTTCGCTAAGGAAACTAAAGCAGATCCTTTAGTGTTCTGCCTGTTTCGTGATGCCGGAGCTTTTCCAGTCATGATGTGTGCTGCTTTTCTCGTTGAAGGAAAATTGAGTTTTCCTTCTCTCAGGTTAGAAAAATTACTTTTCCATAGCCAACCAAGCAGTGGAAGTGAGTCGTATTCTAAATTATGTCCCTAAAACATGAGACGAAGCCCAACTGAAACATTATTTTAAAAATAATCTCGAAATTATTTTTAATAACTGTAAGATTATGATAAAAATTTAGCTAAGCATCAAGCTTAAAATCAACAAAATTAAAATTGCTAAGTCGAAGAACCAATTTTTGTGGCTCACTGTAATTTGCGAAACGAAACGAAAATCTGTAAATATGCTAATGTTTTTATTCAGAGGTTGACCGATTTTCAATAAGACTTAGGATAAGTTAACTTTAAAAAAGAAGTATGGTAGAACAAATGTCTTAAAAAATAAAATCATAGAATATGTGATAGTAGGAATCTGTAGCCTAGAGAAATTCGCGGTGCTGCTGAGTTAAATATTAAGACTAGAGCTAAGACTAGAGCTAAGAAATTCCTGTTAAAGTTATGAGTACTTTGATCTGATGATTTCTGTCTGTCCTGTTTTCTGGATGTAACACATGTTTTTGTTTTAATATATTTAAGACTAGAGCTAAGAAATTCCTGTTAAAATTATGAATACTTTGATCTAATGATTTCTGTCTGTCCTGTTTTCTGGATGTTACACATGTTTGTGCCAGACAGAGATACCTCGAATATCACTTTGTGGTAATCTCTTTTATTGGATAATCTATAGATATTTTTACATCTGATTCATAGATCTACATTCGATTTAAATTCTGACTCAGAGTTTTTGAGGATTATTTAATCTATTCATTTAATTATTCATAGTTTTATATAGTTTTTAGACATATATGTTTTTTTATTATGGTGATTCATCTTTGTATGGGGTCTATAACTTCTTTATGGATTATCCATTGGCTGTACTACCTATCATTAATAATTATTTTAGTTTAGCCATTTTGTATTGTATATGCCATGTATTTCAATAAGTAAATAACTATTTTTGCAAATCATTAGCATATTTCCATTTCGCTAATTATATATTTCTAGAAATCTGTAATTTGCAAAAAGGAAATATATGCTAATGATTTACAAATCTGCATGGTGAACTTTACAAAATTTCTACAACGTTTGTGAATAACTCAGTGTTGTTTAGGCAATAGTATGCAAAAGCAATTTGAAATGTGAGTTGACACTGTAGCAGTACTGTCCACAAGGTAAAGACTACATACATAAGGTGTAATCAATGTATGTTGTCGATCAATAATTCAAAGGCATGACATAACACTTACCTGACCAGAAATGGACATGGAAAGTGTTGCAGCATGTTTCTAGATGAAATATCATGTTTACTAGAAAAATGTAACTGACCCAAGCTCTTTTATTTTCTTCAGTCTCAGAATAATTTTCTTTTTTTGCAAATTACAGATTTCTGTTTTGCAAATCATTTGAATATTTCCATGTTGCAAATTATTCATTTTGTTTCATTTCACAAATTACAGTGGGCCTTTTTTTTTTGTGGTATTTCTAGAAAAACAAATAGAATGGTCCTCTTAACCATGAACTCCTAAGATCTCTTCATCAATTCTCCTTACTGTCTGCAATACAATTGTTGTGGTATTAGTTAGGAGAATGTACTATAGGATCAACTAAAAATTCCCTAACTTATACTTTTGTTTATTCTCATTACTTGTAAATTGTAAGGTGAAAATTTGTCGTGGTCACTCCAGGGAGTTAATCCTTTGGCTCCAAAGAGTGACTAGCATTTAATTCCTTCTGACAATATCAGCCTTGAATCAAATTTTTAAGGTCACAGTAATAAAGGAAATGATCACCAACTAAAGAGGCTTTTGATGGTGAAACAAATTCTCCTTGCCAGCAACTTAAGAAATGTATAGAGAACAGTATTGAGAATAAACATGATGATGTTGAGTATAAAGGGTAAAAGCTGTTCCAGCTGCCTCAAAAATAATTATTAAATAACTGTTCCAATTTTCATTCTTTTTTGTAGAAGCATACCTTTGCTGATGGTTCTTGGCCTCACAGGACCATTTATTCCTCAGCTTCTTTTCCTCCTTGGTGTTTATTTAACATCAGCTAACATGGCTGCTATGTTCCAGCCTGCAGTGCCTGTGTGGAGTGCTTTCCTCGCAATGATGACTGGAGTGGAACCACCTCCGAAGCTAACAACAAGTCATGGATGCGCTAAAGTTTTTGGAATTTTATTAGCAGTTTGTGGTGCTATGACAATGACGTTAGGAAAACTACATGATACTTCCAGTGAAAAGTCCTGGCTTTTACAAGATTCATCTGTTGGGACTCAGTTTCTGGGTTGCATTTGTCTCTTTGTGAAAACCTCCAGCACAGCTGTGTACTACATTATTCAGAAGAAATATATTTTTAATCAATCCCACTCAACTTGGAAGAAACAACCCTTGGCTGTTACAGCTTGGAGTTACTTTTTTGCTACAATTTTTCTGGCATTTGCCTCATTAACTTATTCAAACCAGCCAGAAAAGTTCACAAGTTTTACAAAGGAAACATTCTATTGCTTACTGTATGCAATTGTGGTCTCCTCAACAATGTGTTATCTGCTTCTTTCTTGGTGTAACATGCAGGCACCATCCACTCTTGTTACCTGCTCCTGGCCTCTTCAATCTTTATTTTGTGCACTTTTGTCCATGATATGTTTAGGACAATCGCTACAGCTTCTGGAATGTGCTGGTGGTGGGTTGATAATCAGTGGTCTGGCCACAGTTTTGTGGTCAACTTACAAAGAGAGTGAAGAGTTACGTTTGCATTTGAAAAATGAGAAGACACTCTGTTAGGAGAAGTATGACAACAGGTAGCCCAAGCTCCCAAAATGAGCCTCCCTGAGTATACAAATATGTTGACATTGTGCAATGGCTGAAATATGAGAATTTTTATGAGAATTTTTATGGGAATAAACAGTTGCCTTTGTGACCTTAAAAAAACTGAACCTAAGAACTATTGTACGGGCAAAGCAGCTGAACTAAAATGGAACTGAACACCCCTACATTAGCCTAAGATACTCTCATGATGCAAAGGAACAACCTTATATTTCAGCCATTGGGTAACATTTACATATTTGTACTGTATATTTACTGAGGCTCATTTTGCCAGCTTGGGCTACTTGTGGTAAAATTCCCTTTTCAAATAATGAAATGAAAAACAGGAACCAGTCACTAGTTACCCTTTCATTCTCAAGTGATCAAAAAGAAATTTATCCTTGTAATTTTGATACATATTTAAATGTTAGGATAGCATTTGATTTAGCACCAAATTCTCAAAGCCAAAATTATTGGCGATGTATGGAGAACAGTGCAGAGAAAGTGATATTTTGATCTTGGGAGTGAAAGGGTTGATGCAATCAAATTTGTTCGCATAACAACTTCACCATTTCTTCCTTGGTATGCAAATCTCAAAACTGGCTATTATCGATGAAACTTATTTACATTGACTCAAAACTGTAAAAAGTGCTACACTGTATTTACATTTGGGTTTCACTATTAACCTAAGGTGCTCTGCATAGCTAAGAGTAAACTTAATGTAAAAATGTCTCAGTATGAGGGAATTTAATTTGTAAGTATGTTAAAAAGGATACATGATATCCCTCCCAAGGATTTAATTAAATACAAATAATTTTAGGGAATAAATAGGGAAAAGTTGAAATGATTGATTTTCAAAGTTTTTCATGTGTTAGAAATGCTAGTGTCAAATACTCTGAATTTCACTTGTATTATTTTCCTGTTTCTTAATGATACACTTGCCATCCTTAAACCCTTCACATTCTTACATTGGTATTTATATTCTTCACACTGTTTCTTTGTATTTCCTATGGTAATGACAAGGAGAATTTGTGTGGAAATCAGAGGCTTCTTGAATTGGAGATCATTTTCTTTATTTTCATCATCTTTATTTGTTGAGGTTGATACTGTAAGGAGAAATTAGATGCTAGTTGCTCTTTGGTGTCAAAGGATTAAGCATGAGTATTGGCAATTACATAAACTGCAGTCAATACAATGAACGAATTGACAACATACAAAACCTGTCACAATAAAAGTTAAAAAAAATCTTTTGATTCAAATTTGTTTCAACCCTAAAACGCCTTGGTACTAGAAACTGGCAAAAAAAACAGATAATGGTTGTGTCCTTTCTCTTTACTGGGTTCCCACTATGAATTTCATGCTTGAAGTTATGTTATGTTATGAAGGACACAGTTTCAGCATTTTATTTCATTTAACAGCTCCCTCGACAACGTGAACTTGCTGCACTCCGCAAGGAAGCACTTAGCCTCACTC